TAATTTGTTTAATGATATCTCGTTCAAAAAAGAGCATATAACAGTTAGCAATTGTTAATGCTAATGGAGAGCCCATAGCACCACCACGTATTTCATGATAATATTTATCATTATAAGAAAAAGAATTATTTTGTACCACGAATCGACATAAACGAATAGTAGTTTCAATTTTTAAACCATTAATTTGTTTTATATTTAAGTAATCTAGCATTTTTTTAAATGATAAAATCTTTTCTGTTTGTGGGATCATCGTATAAAGATCCAGAACACATCCATTGTACATAATAAAGTTTCTTGATGTATATTATATTTAGACCATTCATATAACTGTTTAATTAGATCAGAACTAGAAGTAACACTTGTATTTAATGCGATTTGATGAAATGATGGTCGAAGTAATTCATCAAGAAATTTTGATATTTTAAAATAGCCAGATATTTAACACCACAAATAATTGGATAAAGTGAAGTGCCAGGTTTATGAGCTTTTGGTAAATCATAAAGATGGACTAATTCCACTTCATTTAGTTTAATACTTAATTGTTCATATTGTCTCTGTATAATCCAATTAGTTAATCTTAAATTTAATAAATATTTATTTGTACGTTCAATTAAATTTAGTAATGGATCATTTTGATGTAGACATTCATATGCTTCAGTTTTTTCCATATATTCATCGGATTTTTTGTGATAGTCTTGTAATTTACCTAAATGGAAAACCTTAGATTTATCTTTTTTTTTTTGAAAAACTATACTAGTTGAACAAAGCTTCTGTTTTAATTGTTTGACCAATCTACCATAATTTTTCTTTTTCTTTCAGTAATAATTGGACATTTAGTAATTTAATATTGATTCAATTGAATTATTTCTAATAAATTTTCATTTGAAATAATTTCACGTCGTTGCTTATATTTCCGATTTGTTTTACTAACAGGTGTATCATGTAGATTTTTTAATATAATATCCAATTCGGCTATAAATTGTTCGACTGATCGACCAGGATTTACTTTTTTTTCGAAGAATCGAATTTCAATTTTACGTTTTAAAATAGCCAACTCAGTTGTACGTCGTCGAGAAGCCGCTTTCGGATCTTTATAAATAAACAGAGGACCTAATTTTAATAATTGATATTCTTCCTCGGTTAATTTTGCTTGTGCTTCATTAGTTATAGTTGGAGCGAGAAATTCTGGGTGTGGATGTGGGTGTGGATGTGGGTGGGTGTCTTCTATTCATAAACACGTACACCCACACCCACATCCACACTCTATCCACTGTGGAAGTATGCTAGAGACAAAGCGTTCGAATGACGAACTATCCGCAGAGAACTGTCCGTGCTCCCAACTATCCTAAACAGCAAGAGTGTTATTCTATTAGCAGAATAGTATAAAACACCTGAAAGATGGAAAGAAAATGTCCTGAAAAACATTGGCACGAATCGTACATTTCAAAAACATATCGCATTATTATAATCTGGAGGTCTGCACCTTCATGGGAACTGACTTCAATAGTGTCACCGATGACTTCAACTCATGTTGATTGTTTCACTATCCTTGTCAGTTGTCTTGGAGATGCAAGCCTCTATTTTAATGATAAAAAAAACACATCTATACGGTAGCTTTTGAAAAAGCTATGTTTTGCATCTTTTATTTTTTGAACCTCCTTATGTATCGCGATCACTGCTACAAAACGTATTGAAATATTAAACGAAACTTCGAGAACCGTCTTCATTGTAGTACCCATCCTCATCCATCAAGCGTCCGTCCCCAGACCGGGTCGGCATCATCATTGCCTCCATTAATCTGTTGAGTATGTTTTGTCTTGCTATTGGCGACTGCGGCGCAGTAGCGTAAGTAGAAGGACGATCGTACATCTGTGCTGGTGATTGAAACGTGGAAACTGATCGTGTTTTCGATGAAACTAAAAGAGGAAATGAATCATATATCATGATATATTCCATATATTTCGATAAAAAAGATCTGATATGGTCGCATCTGTTCTCAATACGTACAAAACAGCTTTGAAAAACGAGAACTGTTTCTAAACTAATATCGGTTTCAAAATTAAAAAAGGATGAGTATTTTTAGAATAACTTTTGATAGGAACAAGATAGAGAGCTGCGGTTTTCACCGTTGGAAAGAGGCGATGAAACTGCATCGATTTGTATATTTCAGATTTTTTTCTGACGAGTATTTTAAGGGTTCCTGGACAAGTTTTCAAAAGATAAAGCGTTATATAATGTAAATATTATGGACTTTTAATTTTCAGGAGGGCACTAGAATCACTAACTAAAGACCTATCAGCTATACAAGCCCGATGTTATTATCTTTAGCTAATCATGAGTTATGAACACGTTACTGTGTGTTGTCGGTCAATTTTTAACGAAAAAATTCTTTTTTTTTCCTTAGCTTTTAATAAAAAATCAATTTCTACTACGTCTAAAATCTTTGAGTTTTTAAAAAACTTCTTGGGAAGACCTTTAAAATACTTGTCAGAAAAAATCTGAAATATACAAATCGATGCAGTTTCATCGCCTCTTTCCAACGGTGAAAACCGCAGCTCTCTATCTTGTTCCTATCAAAAGTTATGCTGAAAATACTCACCCTTTTTTAATTTTGAAACCGATATTAGTTAAGGTACTTTATATCAAATTATTTTGACAGAAAATCTTATGGGTTCCTTCTAACAACAGTACTATTGATCAACAGAATGGTGTGGATTTTAGTAGGTGCATAGAAAAATCACCCAAAGCAACATTCACACGTACGCCAACATTCATGTCTTACAACGAGCGTCCTAATCACCTTGAAGCGTAGATGTGGATTAGTTTTGTACGCACGTACGCTTACATTTACCCACTCATATTTGTGCTCTCTTTTAAACGTTTGAAATGACGGGAAAGTCTGCGACGAAAATGCACCAGTATTTTAACCGTTTATCTTAAATTAACGGTTGTTAGACTTAAGATCTCAGGATGAAAACTTTACTAGGTCATGCTCAGTCTGTGATATATCATCTCGCAAAGATTATCAAGATTGAATGATCAAAAACGAAAATTTTGAACGACGAAACAGCAAAGAGTTAAGAATGCTATAAATATCTGTATTTTAGAAAATAATTACAGAATTATTACTTCAGCCTATATTTATCGTACCACAGTAGCTCTAGTTTTTTTTCTAAAGTTAGACATTGGTAGATTTAATCGAGTTTATATTTTCTAATAAAGATTAATGTTTACGCTGTCATATATCGAAAAGTATTTGTTATATTTAATCTAGAAATGAAAGATGAGTCTAAACTTTGTCCTGTTTTAAATATTGATAGATTAAACTGGTCTAATTCTACTCATCGACCATTTTGCTTCAAACTTTTATTATGTACCTGTAACTCGCTCATATAAATATATATTTCAGTGTCTCAAACTAGAGGTTATATATGGAATTTGATTCAATTTCGATTCTTCCACCACTCCATTAGTAACATCAGTCAGCATCATTCGAATATCTTCATTAGGTTTTAAAATATGCTTAAGAAGATGCTTTGTAAATAGACCATTTGTCTCTCCTTTCTTTCCATCATCAGCTGTAGTTCCAGGTGCACAAGCAAACGCGATCATGAACCCAGCGTTTGCAATCGTCGGTCTAGCATTCGCACTCATGGGACCAACATTTCCAATCACTGGTTCAGAATTT